GACTCTCGACTCTCGTTTGTTGTGTCGCACATTTCATTGCAAGTAACGGTGATAATCGGCACCGTCATTATCATTAACATCGTCATTATGTTTATTAATATTGTTATCAGTGTGTGTGTGTGTGTGGATGTGGCTGTTGCTCTTGTTCACGTTGATGATGTTCCACTCACCACATTTTTCATTCATGCGGGGGAGTGTGAGAAAGCGCGTAAAACTAACCACACGATACACTCGGAATGGTTCGCTGTCGTCATGGGCAAGGGGTAAGGCTCACGGCCACGGGTATGAGAGCCTCTGCACAGTTGCATGCAACAACAACAATAAGAAAACGAACCGACGACTAAATGGGAAAAGTGAAAGGGATGAGTGACGGCGTTTTCATTAGAATGAGTGATGGCAAATGTTAGCGCCGATCAGGGGTGCACTGAATGCTGAGTTGTGTTCGCGTTTACCTTGTTGTTGTTGTCGTTGTTGTAGTCGTCGTTGTGCAAATATATCAAAATAAAAAAACCGGTGTCGGCGTTTCGGACTTGAAAATTTTACGAAAAAAGGGCAAATGCCGGGTTGTTTGTGGGATTAGGGTGGTGCTCGGAGCAGGCAGGTGTTAGAGAAGAGAAAAACATGCAATGGTCCAACATTGGAATAATAGACAAAACAAAGCAGTCCCAACAAAAATATGAATGCGAAAATAATAACGACAAAACCCAGCAACAGCAACAAGCACTAACACAACTTGGCTGGAGTATGAAGCTCAAACAAACAAAACGAATAAAAAAATAGAGAAGAAAAAATTGGTTTGGCAGTGACTATGACGGGAACTCTGATTGTAACGGCTAACAGTTGATGGCGATGGTGCTGACGATGATTATTATGCTGAACGGGGGACTATTGTTGGGGAATGAATAGAAAAATATGCATAGAAGAGAATTGCCGCTTTTTATCTCTAGGGGTATGAGTACACACACACACACACATGGACATTAACACAAGGCCATGCTGAAAGAATTAAGTGAAAAAGAACGGCATCTTGTTTCTGGTTTATATCTCAAAATATTGGAAGTAGTGCAAGATTAATGTTTCCACGTATATCCTTCGATATGCTTAAGTCTATTGCTAAAAACGTCTGATGACGAGTCTACATTGAAACTGAGTTCACTTTACAAGTGTTAGTCACCATGATAACGAATTGGATGGGACAGGTCATGTTTTGATTTGAACATACCATTTGCAACATCCTGATAAAATTTCATACCAAAATAGCGTTATTGAAGATTTAATTGAAGAACCAAATAGAGTTGCGTGTGTACGAACTGGCTAATAAGAGATGTCTGTTCAATCCGCCGTATTAACCCCTTTTGGGAAACACAGTATGTATGCCATCCATCCCGACATTCTGTTTTTACAATCCACGAGTACCAGAATGTTAATACATAAAACGTCGGAGTTTCGCATCACCCTTGGATGTATTAAAAAAACACGGTTTATGACACGCCAGCTTCAGTCTTATGTACATTCCGGATCGAAGTATCAACAAATAACAAATCATCTAAGAAGAAAGAGAAACTCCGCAGGTACATATTGCAGTTTTGTGGAAATACATGATGTCTTCAAATTACAAATTTCACTATTTAATAGTCTAGCGGTATCACGGCTGCCGCCAAAAATGGCCAGAACCAACTATCTCGGAGGACAAATTTATTGATGAGAAGTGATAGAAAACACTGCAAATTGAATGAATATGAAGTTTGGTATTCTTCAACGTATTAACAAATATGACATATTCATGCAATATTTAGACGTTTATGCCTACTATTAAAGAAGTAATTGAGGGCCAAATAGAAAGAAGAACTTGGAAATAATTGCCATCGGAAGCGGAAAGTTCATTTCACTTTATGGAAAGTTCATACATAACAATTTTAGTTCATGGACTTGGAGATATATTGTGCAGAACATTACCTTTGGATTGACTTCCACAAGATGCTATCAACTTATGTCACAAAATAATAAAGAGCATCCCGAATATTTGGAAGAATCGACTCAGTATTTGATATTACAATCCGATCCTGTTATATACATCAACAGCCCTAAATTTTAACATGGTTGGTACTAGATCTACATTTGGGAATACAATATTTAATATATTCCTGATGTGTGTGTGTCAATCTGGCGAATGACACCCATTCAAAATATGTCTGCATCTACACCAATATAAAAAAACACGATAACTCCATTCTAGTTACTGAAAATTATACAAAACTATACACTATATATGGAAGCTATATCACTAAATCTAAATCTGAACCGATTTCAACAATACTTGACGCACGTTAGGATGTAGTAACTTCAGTACATTGTGCAAAATTTTGTGCGAATATGCCATGTACTTAAAGTCGGACGAAATTATATATGGTTATACTAACCTCAGTACTTTGTGCAAAATTTTGTTCGAATCGGATATATGTTGGGGTTTTGGTGCACCATCTACTGAAAATCGCACGAAACTATATAAGGGAGCTATATCTAACGATAACACGATAAAACACGATAACTCCATTCTAGTTACTGAAAATCGGACAAAACTATACACTATACATGGAAGCTATATCTCTAAATCTGAACCGATTTCAACAATACTTGATCCACGTTAGGATGTAGTAACTTCAGTACATTGTGCAAAATTTTGTGCGAATAGGCCATGTACTTAAAATCGGACGAAATTAGATATGGTTATACTAACCTCATTACTTTGTGCAAATTTTGTTCGAATCGGCCATATGTTGGGGTTTTGGTGCACCATTTTCTGAAAATCGCACGAAACTATATAAGGGAGCTATATCTACATTGTGCAAAATTTTGTGCGAATATGCCATGTACTTAAAGTCGGACGAAATTATATATGGTTATACTAACCTCAGTACTTTGTGCAAAATTTTGTTCGAATCGGCCATATGCTGGGGTTTTGGTGCACCATCTACTGAAAATCGCACGAAACTATATAAGGGAGCTATATCTAAATCTGAACCTGTGCCAAATTTCATCGAATTACTGAAAATCGGACAAAACTATACACTATACATTGAAGCAATATCTTTGTTCTGAACCGATTATCAACAATACTTGAAAATCCACGTTATAAGGATGTATATCTAACTTCAGTACATTGTGCAAAATTTTGTGCGAATAGGCCATGTACTTAAAATTTAACACGAAATTAGATATGGTTATACTAACCCGTTCACGTTGGATGTAAATTTTGTACTTAAAATCGGACGAAATTAGATATGGTTATACTAACCTCAGTACTTTGTGCAAACTATATAAGGGAGCTATATCTAAATCTGAACCTGTGCCAAATTTCATCGAATTCATGCATGGGTCAATCTCGATTCCTTTTGCATATTACAAACATATGCACAAAGACATGAAGGGTATAAAAATGAAAATTTCAAGACTCTTTTTATGGGAGCTATACCAAATTTTATAATTTTTTGTCACTTGCTTTCTAGGTCAATAATAAGGCACAAAATTTCATGGACGATAACTCCTTCTATTTTGGGTCGCTGTTTATATTCACTCGCGACATAGTGAGGCATACGCCACACAGAGTTCTTTCGATTCTATTTTATTGTCGAAATGGTTTTATCAGTCGGTATATTCGGCGACTAAATTGATTCTTTGATTCTTGAAGTAGTTCTTTGATTAGTGCATACGTGGACAGAAGTTAATAAGCGGATCTTGTCGTACACTGATAAGAAGAGGAATTGTGACCGACTCACAGGTGTGCTGTGACTGACGCTTTCTGCATTTCGTAAGAAGAGGAACTACATCTAGCAAATTCCTCTTCTTATCCGTGTACGACAAGATCCGCTTATTAACTTCTCTCCACGTAAGCACCTATATTTTTAAATTAACATGTTTTCTAACTCAGGTTGCATTTGTTATTTAATTTATTTTTCAATCATTTTCTGCAGGCACAAACATGTTCCTAAAATGTATTTATTTCCCTCGAAATAAAAATAAAAAAATATTTCCACAGTAAAATACATATTATGTGTATATTGTAAAAATTGATGTTGCTCCTCTTCTTCGTCACACTAAATTTCATAACCTGCCGATGTTTCCAATTAGTATTAATACACCAAACAACCACTGCTCCCACTGCCGTTTTGGCTTTCTATTCTCATTGAGGTTCGTGGACACGGGCTCGACACAACACCGTCATGTCCTATTCCGATCAACCAGAAAATAAGCGCAAAAATCAACCAAAAAATGTGCTAGTTGATGACGATGAAACTGTACACAGATATGCAACGGCAGTGCCGTCAAACAAGCCCAGCCAGCACAAAGTGAACGCCTATTTGTATTTTATTATTTATTGTAAAAAAGCAAGCATTGGGGACCCAAAAGAATAGAGCGGTTCGTGGTGCCAATGTGCCATCATTAAGGCTCGATCCCAATTGCTGCAGCCAACACTCGCCCATCCATTGGCACCGTGTGTGCTCATGAAAAACTGGGCAAAACTAACTCCTCTAACCCGATGTCCCATGTCTGGCGAGAGGGTGCATGTCCGTCCTGGCAATGTGTGAATGTGCATCACTGGCCAACGCGGCTAAACACCGAAACCCTTTTACATTTTAAAATCTCTGTTTTTTTAGGGGTACACAATGGTCGGGTGGTTATTGTCGCTGTTTTTGTTGTTATTGTTGTCGTCGTTGTTGTATTTTTTAGAGTTTAATGCAATTTTTGTATTCGACACAATTGCATTGCACATCATCATGGGGCTTGGTGCATCCTAGTTGGGCCCTGTCTCTATGTGTGTGTGGATGTGCCCGTATGTGTATTATATGTGTATGTGTATTATGTGCCCAGTACCCCAGTGACCAGTGCAAAAGCTCATTCCTCATACGCATTTTTGATTTAGTTTTGATGGCGCAGAATGCTACTGATGAAACAAATGCAACAAAAAACCCCGATTCTACACAAAGAAGTGATATGAAAAAATGCAAGCACCGCCACCACCGGGTGCCGGGGCATTAAATGCATTTCTAACCGAAACCATTGAACCTGTGACCCTCGCCGTATGTGTGTGTGGGTGTTTGTTGTAGGGCTTCCATTTTTTATTTGGCGGAATATACCACCTTTGGTGATAAACTAAAATATATTTATATATGCCCCATCGGGGTGAGTGGATTTGTGGATATCAATGGCCACTTATATACGGACATGGGTTTGCACCCATATTTAGCATACAAATATATGACTGTGTGCGAGCGAAAGTTTCGTTATGTATTTTGAATGTACACACACGCACACACATATGAACGTACATATATGCATGTAGTTGTATAGATGGATAGATAATATAATAGCATCAAAACTTTGTGGATAATCATTTCCGATTTGAATCGAAAACGCTGGTGCATTGCAAAACAATAACAAAAAACTGTACGCAAATCTCGCTAAAGATGCAACCAAGATTGTATTTTTCTTTTAAATCATTAACTTTGCAATGGGCTATCCATGATTGGGGAAAAATAAATGTTCCCTTATTTTATATTTTTGGTATTATTATTAATGACATACATTAATTGCACGACTTAACATCCTGAACAAATTGTTATACGATGTGTGTATGGTGTATTTAAATAAAACACTATTTTAGTTCGGGCTGGAACTGTAGCAAAGTCATTGCAAATATTCAAGCTTTAAAATACAGCAACAGAAAATATTACCACTAACTTTACCCAACAACTGCTAAAAATATTGGCATAATGATTAAATTAGCAAATGAAAAGATTTTTTTATTTCATAGCATCTGAGCTTAGCTCGAATTTTACATGAGAACAGCCAGCGGGAGAATTTTTAACACGATTTTCAGCCACATTGGCTATAATGTGGTATTTTAGGCACTGAGGTAGCAAACCTTCTAATCAATATTGGTCAATTTTTTAGGTCACCCCCATATAACGTTATCCCGAATATTCGGAGTTTTGGTAGGTTTGGGCATCTTTTTTTTCAAACGAATTGACTGTAATTTTATATTTGGAACTCTCATTGGGTACAAAATCTCCCTACCAAAAAGTATCAATATTCTGTGTTTTGGGAATTTTGGGTACGTTTTTCAATCGAATAGATTATAATTCGATATTTTGTGTTCTTATTGGGTGTCCAACCTTACAACAACAACTTATCGATATCTGTCCGCGATTTGCTATAGCCTCCATAAAACTGTACCGCCAATTTTTGACTATTACAGGATTTCGGTATGTACAAGTCCTATCCAAAATTTCCAATAGCAGCCTATAGTTTTATATTTCATTTTCTCTTGGCAGACCCGATCGATTTTAAAAACTTAACGACATTTTTACTTTTACTGTGTACAAAAGTATACATTTATTGCAGTAATTAAGAAATATAATGAGAGAAAAGTTGTAAGAAAAACACCTAAGACCATAACAACAAACAAATTTTGCTACAGAAAAGGCTCGAAGTCCCAAAAAATAATGTATCTCCGCAAATACTTATTTTTCCATTTTGCCTTTATCCATAGAACCTATTGTCGGAATGTATCTAAAATTGCCATTTTTAAAGTTTTAAAACTTTAGGAGAGTTACCAGTAAGAGTGGACCGATATGCTGTATCTTTGGATACGATCAGGTTTTGGTAAAAAATACTTTTGCGAAGTTGGAGTCAAATCGGATACTCTATACTCTATAAGCTTCGTATTAGAAGAAAGTAAAACAAAACTATTACTATGTGCATAGGTTACACCATTCCCATTATAAGATATTTACAAATTTTCAAAATATGGACCTTTTGTGGGGCAGTTACCAGAACAAAAGGACCAATAATTCCCACCTTCGAACATGTTAGAGTTTTAGTAAAAAAAGTTTGAGTCAAAGCGGATAATCCCTTCGCAGTATATTATACATTTATTTTTAAGCAAAATTTTGACCAAATGTAGGAAAGGTACTTGAAGGCGTGTTTCGATAATCTCCATTTTTGAACATGATTTAGGTTTGGCAGAAGTATTATGACTGATTATTCATCGGCAACGAAATATGAATATATAGTTAGTTAAAGTTAATAATGCTAATATTTTTTGATTCTGCATTTTCAACACTGCTTAACGATTGTAAATCCAGTGTTAAAATTTAGCAAGCAATGTTGTAATTTTCTGTGTTAGGGTATTTTTACGTTAGCATTTTAAACCCTGGAAATATGTTATCAATAATGAATTTTTAATAATGAATTACTACTATTCATTTCTTAGAATTCTGAGGTTTTCATTTACAGCCTTTTTATTAAGGTTGCTCGAAAAATCGGGTGGTTCTCCTGACACTACTCTTTAATACGAGACAAATTTGTCACATGGGATTATAGGTTGTGGACCCTTAGTGTCTGCACCAAATCAGATTCAGACAATTGTATGTCCGTCCGTCCGTCCGTCTGACTGATGAGCACGATAACCCTTGAACGGTTTAACCGTTTTGATCCATACTTGGTACAAATTTGTCACATGGGAGTATAGGTTGTGGACCCTTAGTGTCTGCACCAAATCAGTTTCAGACAATTGTATGTCCGTCGTGTACACTCTCGTGTACATGGAAATCTTTCTTCCCACTTTGAATAAAGAAAAATAAAAATAAACGAATAATTACAATTTACAAATTGAAAAATGTTGAAACTTCGCAGATATCTGCCACTTCTTCTGGTACTTTCCAACAAAGGGTCAAAATTTTGTGTAGGAATATTTTTCAAATTTGGTACTGAAACTTGGTAACTGTTTAATAACACAGGCGCTTTATACTAAGAATAGGGATATCAACTGGAGTAACGGGACTTATTTTAGTCATTATTCATTCAAAATTCCACAATTTTTTATTGGAGTGGAAAAAAATAAAATAAAAACATTAGCATGTTTTCGTGAATATCGTGAAAAGAACTAACAATGAAGTGACCCAGCTAACTTATACATTGATTTGTTTGGTGTTTCGGTTAGCATTGTCACCTCACGCCCTCTAATAATTTTTATTTCATTTTTTTATATAAAATATTGTTGTTTTTATATTGAAGCGGTAGTTATTTGGAATCCTAAGCATACATTCACATACATACACACACACACTTATATGCATGCGAAATAAAACGATTTGTATGTAGTTGTAATAAAATATATTTCTATGTGTATATGTTTAGGTATATAAACTCATACAATTTAATGTATTCGTATTTGCATCCAACTCTAGTCATTTTTTGTTTTGGATTTTGGATAATGTGCATATTCGATGGATCCCCATGAGCACAAAGTTCGCTCGCATGCACCCTTTGTACACAATCACACTTATCTACATGCATTTACTCGTGTTTATCGATGTGTGTGTGTGTGTTGTGTGCTGGCGCTAGTGAAATAATTTCCATATCATATTTTATATTGTTAAGGGATCCGCCTTTTGTTGTTGTAGTTGTTGTTATGCTATTTGTTTTTGTTTCGGTCATTTTTTGCAACACTCATATATTTATGCCTAAAAAATGTCATACCCCTACCCACAGGTGGAACAAATCCATACATGGAATAGCTGGTTAGTATTTTTTTTTTGTTAACTCTATGTATTGTGTGCACAGTTTTAATTTTGTTACTATTTACACAACATCAAATTAATATGCCCTAACCTAGGGCAACGTTTTGAAATATAATATTGACCTAAGTGTGTTGTATGTGCGGTCGATATTTTGCTGACCCGTTGTTTTGTAAAAAAAATGTCGACATGGATTTTAGAACAGCTGCCACACCCAGTTTTTCAAAAGTAGCTTTTCTTCTATTAATTGAGTTGAGAACTCGGTTTTTTCGGCTTATTGTCGCGGAATCAAAGGCTTATTGTTTATAGGAACATAACGAAAGTCCAGCTTGTTGCGTATCGAGCGATGAATTGTGATTTCTCGAGGAAATTAAGAAAACATTTTTACAAATAAATTGAGAATTGTTGCATAAGACATTCTTCAGAAACCCCAAAATTTAATTTCTTAATTTGCATATTATTTTTTAATTTATATTGAAGCTATTTATTGTCGAATTTTTTTATCGTCATATATGCCAACCTACATCGTTTACAATGATCCCGAGGTATCCAATTAATACATCACACTTCACGAAATGGTTCTTCTCCATTTAGCCTAATTGTAGACCAAGTCATAGCAATGACGACAACAACACATTTTGATTTCGGGGATAGATATTTCATTAAGAAAACAAAGCCAAAAGGAAAACAGAAATATGGTACGTGAATAAAAAAATTATGTCAACAGATGAAAATCCAATTTTTATGTAAGAAAACGATATCTAAAACGAACTACAAACGATTTATATAACTGGGGACATCACAAAGCGAAACGTTGAAATCAGACATCGCCGTTATTACATAAATTTAACTAGAACTGACGATGAACGGCGCTTTCTTTTACTTTAGAGATTGGAAGTATGAAAAATTAAAGCAAAACGACGGAGACAACAATGAGCTCTTGAGCATTACTTCATTCATTCATCGACCTGATGGTCAAATTTTCGCATTTTCTTTTGTACCTCAATACGACCGAATGGAATTGTGAAATATGAAAAAAAAAACAAATAGCTAAATCAAAATGAAGAGGGATGACAACAGACGAATACCTGTCACTTTATACCATGTAGTTTTACACTAAGGGTAGGCCAAGTGAATATAGAGTAATATTCTATTATTCTTTGGGGATGGTTTCAAGCGTCCACTCGATATTTTCGTTGGAAGGGTATCTGTTCAATATAGAATTAGTTGTTTCTGGCTTTTTCGTCAATTGCATGCCAGACACCAAACAAAGAGTTAACACTGATTGAACATTTCATCCAAGTACAAGGCCTACTATCGTAGAATGGATAGAGTTGAGAAAACTAAAAAAAAAACAACAGCGAGAACGAGACAAAGATCAAATACAATACAGAAACCAAAAATAAAAAAAAAAAAAAAATAAAACCAAGGCTTTTAGACTACAGAATTGGAGTACGCAAATGCAAGGATCACAAATGGTCTGGATATTTATTTCAAGA